AATAGTGAATTTTGATTTTAATTTTCATTTAAGGGGAATTTTACTTAAATGATGTTCTTCACTTTGAGAACGATTCTTAAAATGGTGAGGAGACTCTACAAAGACTAAAAAGTTTGAGGACACATACTTTGAACCTTTACTGTGAATAGACCTGGCTGTGTCTCTCTCCTTGAAAGGAGCAGAATTATCCCATCAGAGTCAAATGGGAGGCACACTCTTCTTATCGGAGCTTTGTTTCCAAAACAGGACTGATTGGTCTGCTATTCATTCATTCATTAGTCCAACAAATACTTTACTAAATTCCCACTATCTACACTCCTCTGTGTTCTGGGAAAGCTGAATAGGATATGGCAGACATGTCCTTTTATTGCCATGAAGCCAGAAGAGCAATTAAACTAATAGTTGTAATGCATTGTGATGAGAGTAATGCTAGGGAAGTACAGACTGTTGTAATGACCCTGATGTGGTCTGGGGGATCAGGGAATGGCTCCGTGAAAAGGCCTTGTTTAGGATGAGTAGGAAATGCACTAGACAGTAGAGAAGGACTTGGGAACACTACTCTGAACAGAGAAAATAATAACCAATGAATGAATAAAGGCAAAAAAAAAACGGCAGTATGTTCGAGGAAATAAATGTTCAGGATGGCCCCCAAAACTTTGAGAAGGATCATGAAACTTTGAGACTTTGAGTAGAATTGAGGCTGAAACAGGTAGACCTTAGAACATATGAGCCACTTTAAAGAGGTTGGACTTTCTCTTAAGTGAAGCAAAAATCAATTAAATGGTTTTGTGCAAGAGAAAGTACCTGATTGATTTGTGTTTATTAAAGGGCACTGTAACTGCTGTGTAGATAATGCATTTGAGAGAGGTGGATGTAAGTCAGCAAGACCAGTCAGGAGTCTGGTGAAGCAATACAGATGAGCTGAAACGGTGGACAGGACCACAGTTTTGACCACAGGAATAGAGAGAAGTGAAAGGAATTGAGAGAAAAGGAGGTAAATCATGAAGACTCAAGGGTGATTTGACATTATATTGAGTGAGAGGAAGAACAAAGGACCTTATTGAAGTTCTGCCTGGGAAACATAGTAATGGTACTCTTCACTGTGATACAAAGTTAACCAAGAACAGGTTGGAGAAGTTAAATGATTTCATTTGGAGATAGGCTGAGTTTGAGATGCCCAGAAGTCATCTAAAGTGAAGGTGTTTACCAAGCAGTCAGTTATATGGATACAGAATTCAGCAGGGAGATTAGACTAGAAATACAGATTTTGGGTTTTACCATCAGCAGGTAGATGGTAATTGAAACCACTGGAAAGAGACAATCATCCAGGGAAAATGAGACGACTAGAACCCTGGAGAACAAAGATAGTCAAGGAAAAAGCAAAAGAAAGTTAGTCTCCAAGGAGGTTGAGAAGAATTAGCCTCCATGGTAAAGCGACACCTTGAGAGGGTGCTGTTTGGAAACCAGGACTAAAGACTGATTGGAAGGGAGGAAGTAGTCAGCAAAACCCTGTGGCAACTGTGAAGACTGGGCAGAATAGGGACAAAGAATGGTCTTCTGAATTTAGTGACAAAGATAAGAGCAGTTCGCTTAGAGTTCAGAGGGCAAGTGACTATAGCACTCCATTTTCTTCCTTTTCTTGTACATCAGAACACGTGGTCTGTGAGCACTGTGTACAAATCCAGGCTACAAGGAATCCGGGGGGAGACCTCTTCTCTGAGTCAAGTGCATAAGCTGCAGGAACATTCATGGTGATCCTTTAGGAGCTATTTTTGCTCATTTTTAGTGTTCTGCTTTGTTACTAAGTGGTGTAGACTGCTTAGTTTTAGGCAGATGAGGTACTATTTGATTAAGTGATTGAAAGATTTTTATAAAAATCTAATGAGGGGTGCCTGGGTGGCTCAGTCAGTGAAGCGTCCGACTTCGGCTCAGGTTAGGATCTCGCGGTTCCTGGGTTCGAGCCCCGCGTCGGGCTCTTTGCTGACAGCTAGCTCAGAGCCTGGAGCCTGTCTTAGGATTCTATGTCTCCCTCTCTCTCTGACCCTCCCCTGCTCATGCTCTCTCTCTCTCACCTCTCTCTCTCTCTCTCAAAAATAAATAAGACATTAAAAATAATAAAAAATAAAAATCTAATGAGACAAAATGTTTCAGTGCATGAGGATTACTTATAATTATCCTGAACACCACAAGCATTAACATTTCAATAAAAAATTTTACTTATATAAGTGTGACATTCTCATTTCTTTGGAAACAAAAAAGCACCCTGAGAGTTTGAATATACAGTTTCATCCTAATGAACAGAAATGGGTCTATAGGATACTGTTATTTGATCAATAATGACTTTATTGCTATAGACAATTCTGTAAGGTCAGGATATGTTTTTTAAGGAACAGGAATAATTAATTCTTTATTCTGATGGCCTTGGTTTAGTTTTTGAGGGGCTATCTTTTATTTTTTCTCTTTTTCTTCCCCCTTATTTTCACGCTTTGAGTTTGAGTGGCTTCATTCCTTAAGTCCAGTATCATGAAGAATAATAGAAAGATCAGGGCACCATAGAGAGGAAACAGATACCACTGTTGGTTTACATAAGTAGCCCTAGAGAAGATACTGGAAAACTTTTATTCTCCCAGTATCTTTAGGAAAGTATGACAGTCTATGCTCATCTGAGTATATAACCTGCTATAGAATAGATTTCCATATGATATGAATTTGCCTTATGCTCCTCCAAAAGCTGTTTGGTCCTTAGAATTAATAAGATTTTACTGGCAGGGCACCTGGGTGGCTCAGTCAGTTAAGTGTCTGACTTCAGCTCAGGTCATGATCTCACAGTTCGTGAGTTCGAGCCCCACATCTGGCTCTGTGCTGACAGCTCAGAGCCTGGAACCTGCTTCAGATCAAACATTAAAACAAATTTTTTAAAGATTTTATTGGCAAGGCAGAATAATATGATGGAGCCCAACCTCCAAGTTTGAATTCTGCTTCAGCATACATTTACTGTGTGTCTTGAGTTTTTTACCCTCTCTGGCCTCAGTTTCTTCTGTGAGATGGGGGAAAGAACCATCCTCATCAAGGTGATTAAATAAGTTAACATTTTTGAAAGAGCAACACCCAGAACGTAGTAGGTACCGTAGATATATACAGAATTTTACACAATCCCATGACATAGAACTGTGTTAATAGTGAGAGTCCTTTTCATTATGAGTAACTGTTTATTGAGTTCTACACTGAATTCACCATTATAGTTTAAAATATTATCCCAGTTGTAAAAACGAGCAGAACATAAATATAATCACTCTCTTGCCTTAGCTTCCTTTGGCTGATGAAATACATCACCCAGTGCCTTTGAGCAGGATAACTGTTCAGCTGTATCTTTTGCATCTGCCTTCAGCATGTCCAGAGCACTTCATGGCTTCAAGTTCCGTATAACGCAGGGGTTAGGCCTTGCATTTCTGGGGAGACCTGTCAAGAGACCTCAGACCACGTCTCCACTAGATGCTTGGAACCTGTGAATTAACTGGATGCTTAGAACCTGTGAATAATATTCTAGGGAGAAATGTCCCATTTTTAAAATTCTGCATTACTTAGTCTGTTTCTGGTATTCTCCTTTAAGCTCTCAAAGTACCCTTGGCAAGCCGTATCATCCTCGGCCTGTCATATTTACTAATTTTGTAGTCTTTCATATTTTAAGGACACACACACACATCACTTATGTCTCCTGTGAAATAATTATTATCCTTATTTTATAGATAAGGAATCTAAAGTTCCAAAAACAGTTCAATTGCTTGCCCGCGGACACAGAACGTGGGTGACAGAACAGGAACTGGAAGCTGTCCCCCCCTCTTCCTCTGTTTTTATCAGTTGATATAAACTATGAGGCAGAACTAATGGGTACTAATAGGACAAAATGACTAAAATTGGTTAAGTGGGGAGGAAGAGCCATTTGCAAAACAATGTGTTTCATGTAAGGCCACTTCTGAAAAATCATCAGTGACAATCAATATGGAAGGGGAAGTAAGTACAGTCAGTGTACAGAGCCGTGTGTGCCGTGAGGATGCCTGTCCTCGCCCCCCCCCACCCCCTCCAAGGAAGGGGCGGCCTGGATGGGTTGAGTAACTTCACCAATTCCACAAACCTTCATTCATATCTATGCCTTGGACTTAGTCTCCAAATGGGCCTCGAAGTGGGCTTGCCAGTTCTCATTCCTTTGCTTTCCCTGAAAGCAGACACAAAATATTTTACTGCTCATTTAGTAAACAGAGAATCCCCAGATGACGCCAGTGTGGGGTTGGATACAGAGTTCTCGCACACACCGCTTCCGCTCTCTCGAACCTGTGTTTGCATCTGGAGCAAACAGCATCGCTACCGGAACCAACCAGGTCACCTGGGTTCACATTCCGGGCTCTTACTCGGTTTTGCTCTTCCTGCTGTGTCTCCCTGCCTTTTCTACATTCACATACTTCTGGAAATTACAGATGAAAAAAATAACCCGCAGCGTTAAAAAGTTAGAGATTGCCTTCTGACAGCTGCAGAAGCGCCTCTGGTACGTCTACTACAATTCGGTTTAGAGAGGTTAAGTTCACGGGTTGATTTGTAGAGCCGTATCCGTGTCCAATGGAGTCTCGCGCTGCACCGCGGGCTTAAGCACAGCAATTCTCAGACTCCTTTTTTTTTTTTTTTTTTATGTTTTATTCATTTCTAGGAGAGAGAGAGAGAGAGACAGCGTGAGCAGGGGAGGGTCAGAGAGAGAGGGAGTCACAGACTGAAACAGGCTCCAGGCTCCGAGCTGGCAGTCAGCACAGAGCCCGATGCGGGGCCCGAACCCACGAACCGCGAGATCATGACCCAAGCGAAAGTCGGACGCTTAACCGACTAAGCCACCCAGGCGCCCCTCTCAGACTCCTTTTTAAAACAGGACAGTAAAACGATCGGGAGCTAAAGCACGCAAAATGCTGACTGTCACGTTGGTGTCTCTCTGTGTTTTCTCTGCGCGCACGCTCCAGGTGGGGGAGTTCCGAGCCCACGCCGCCGAGTGGACGGCAAACGTCACCGCCGAGTTCAAGGAGACCAGGAGGCGCCTGAGCGTGGAGATCTACGACAAGTTCCAGCGAGCCACCTCCATCAAGCGGAAGCTGTCGGCGGAACTCTCTGGCAACCACAACCAAGAGCTGACCCCATGCAGGCGGACCCTGTCCGTGAACCACCTAGCCAGCGAGAGGGATGTCCTGCCTCCCTTACTGAAAACCGAGAGCATCTATTTGAACGGACTGACGCCGCACTGTGCGGGCGAGGAGATCGCGGTTATCGAGAACATTAAATAGCCCTCTCTTTGAAGAGCCTTAGGCGTAGCCATAGGTGAGGACTTCTATATGCTCTTTAATGACTGTTGCTGGTAGCGTTTTTTAAATTGTGCATGAGCTCCAAAGGGGGAAACAAAATAGATAACACCCACCATGGTCATCTACCATCAAGAGAATTTGGAATCCTGAGCCAGCACTCTCTTTTTGATGACGCTTGTTGAACAGTCCACGCTCCTTGACAAGTGGAATAAAACAAGCAATGTCTGATGCCTTTCTGTGCCCAGACTGTTTTCCTCCCTCTTTTCCTAATGTGCCATAAGGCCTCAGAATGAATTATAATTGTTTCCGGTAATAATGTAGCTTTGAGGGATCAAGTCCTTAACTTTTCAGGGTCTACCTAACTGAGCCTAGATATGGACCATTTATGGATGACAACATTTCTTTTTGTAAATGGCAAGAGATTCTTATGCAGCCTTTTACCTAAGAAATTTTCTGTCAGTGCCTTATCTTCCGAAGAAAGAGAACCTCTCTAGCTAATGTATGGTTTCTCCTTCCCCGCCCTACCCCTAGGCTCACTTCTGCAGCCCTTTATCCCACAACTCCCGTTTGAATACCATACCTTGCTGGAAACAGTGCGTAAAATGAAGTGATGATGCCCGAAGAAGGAATAGATGCCACATTAGATGGACATTGAAGCAGAAATTCTAGCGTTAAAGGCACTGCAAAGAAATGAGGTGTGCAGATGGCCCCTCTAAGTATTTATTTGACTCAGGTACCAGTGGTACATATATACAGTGGAATTATCTCCAGGCTGGTAAAATTGGCTGCTCTAAACAGTCCCTGTTTTTCCTGGCAGTATTTGGAATTTATCACTTATTGCTAACTACACATTTTTTAAAGGTGGAAGAAAATATATATATATATATCAGACATGGATAGTATTGGAGATGATTTAAGACAATTGGTGTGAAAGAAGATAGCACGATAATGTGTTACGAGCATTTGGCTAATAAACATTATACTGCCAGCACCTATTTGCTTTTTGATGTGGAAGGCTTATACGATTTTCTTTTCCTGGGTGACTTTCGCCAGACAGGGGAGGTGACGCTGTAGCCGGAGGTGGGCACAGCCTAGCCTTGTGTGGGTGTCCCTCTGGAGCTGTGAGTGAGTTTGAGAGCAGAAGTAGAAACTGGGATCACTGTGATATATTGCACATGGAAAAAAAATGCAGAATGCAGGCATAATTCATCTTTGACATTAGAGAAAAAGCTGTTATAGCACAATTTAAATCTTGGGAGCTTTTTTTTTTTAGATAGAAAAGGCTGATAACCCTTTTTAGTTGAATTTTATATCCTGTAACTTTGGATGTTTCCAAGATTCAGAAAAAAATTCATTAAAGGCACCTAGTAGATTGCTACTCTCATTTATTTTCATACTTAGATCTGCTGTACATTGTATATATAATTTTTAAAATGCAGAAAGAAGATGGTTTCCCCAAATACAATTGCAAAACATTTCTTTCATTCTGGGGAGAGGGGTGTGACAGTGGTGGAAATATCTGAATAAGTGGCATTCAGATTAGGGTCTTAAAAAATAAACAGGATCTTAAAAAAAAAAAAAAAAACATCTAAATAGATGCTTATTTTCCAAAATTTAAATCTAAGCCAGACATGTAAATATTACGTTAACTTGTTGAAGGTACTTTTATAAACTTAAAAAATTCTAACCCAAATTTTAGAAAGTCAGGCTCTTTTAGAAAGCAAGCTACACCCATCTCCTCAACAACTGTTCTGAAAGTTCATATGGTGGAATGCACCATGTATAAACTGTGAATTGTATTGACAAATAAAGTTTGTAATTAAAGTCAGTATTTTCTGAGTGTCCTGCTTGCTGCTGAGAATGCAGAAGGGATTCTCACTAAGGACTCCAGGATGTCACTTTCCATGCTGAGTTTTCTGTGGCTCCTTCATTCACAATATTCAAGAAATATTTCTGATGCAGTATTACTATCCTTGGTAAATATGTACAGGATGTTCTTCTTGGTGACTGTTAATCAAAAGGAAACCTCCTGAAATTTCACTTTTGAAATATGATCTTTTAAATCGCATATAAATTCAAGATTACGTCTATGAAATCATGATATATCAACAGCTTATTTTATCATTGTTAGACCCTATCTTGACACTGAAGTAATCTGAATGCAAAAACAGGCACTTGAATATTTTTTGCTAAGGAAAAAAAAAAAATCCTGGCAGTGTTGAAGCCTAAAGAAGGTAGTTGTCAAACTTTGTAAACCTCATGTCCCAAATATTTGAACAACATAACTTATCAGTGTCTTACATAACTACATTAATTATTCATCTCCATGCACCTTGAGGCTCAGTAAATAGCCTAAAACTCAATCCCAGCATTATCCTCAAATTTGGGGGAAAATCTAAGAAAAAGTATTTTATCAATTTTATTTCCCTAAGCTTTCATTTGTTTACCTAATTTGTAAATTTAAAATTAATTTCATTTGTTTACTGTGGAAAGAACATTGGTAAAGGTTTTAACACCGTCTAGATTCTTCTAGTGAGTTTTATATTTCCCACAGTCCAGTTTGAGTGAATAGTTTTGCCGTGAAGAGTATCTGGGGGAAAAAACCTAAGTACTAGAGTCAGCAAGGATCAGGAACTTGTTGCTATGAAATCTTAGACATGCATTCTAGATAACGATCCTCTACCTTCTAGCTATTAAATGTAAAAGTGATTATTTTGGAGTTCTTTCAATTTCTCATACAAGTCTATGTCACACACCCTTTTTTCAGCAATATTTCACTCTTGTAATACAGGAAATAGTGAAACTTCTAAAGCCAAAACGGAACTGAATAGTTTGTGTCTTAGCACAAAAAGGTAAGAGCGGATGTGTTTGTAGGGCTTTGTTTCTTTCTCAATTTCTAAGAAGCATGTGACATCAAGAAGATTAAATCCCTCCTTACTTTGTGTAAGAAATGTGTAGCATTCTTTGATTCTTAAGGCTAGAGGTTCAAGCAGACTAAGGGAAAGTTTAGCTGGAACACCAAAATAAATAAACAAATTCAGCCATTCTGAAGATTTGAGACAGCTCTTTATGCCTAGGAACTGGACACCTAGATCAACTTCTATTTTTGTTTTCCTTTAAAAAAAAAAAAAAAAAAGTTTGCTCTTCTAGTAAAATCATAACTTATTTGTGGTTTGCATTCCTTATTAAAATGTGAGTATAAATTTGCTTTTGTATAAAGTAAAAGATGTCTCTATTTGAATACTCATAACTTCATTAAAATTAATATATGGTTTTGCTCCATCATGAGTTTACTTAAGTGTGTAAAACCTTTATAGTGAAACATACTGGCCTCGCACACACTCCTGTGTCAGTTCCAAGAGGGAACCTGGTTCCTTTTAAGAGGCAGTTTTAACTGTGGTTTTCTTAAGGGGAAATCTTCATAAGCTCCATGTGTTTCCTTCCTACCACAAAGGTTTATCCAGCTTTTTTTTTTTAATATTTTTATTTATTTTTGAGAGACAGAAAGAGATAGAGCAGGAGTAGGGGAGGGGCAGAGAGAGAGGGAGACACAGAATCTGAAGCAGGCACCAGGCTCTAAGCTGTCAGCACAGAGCCTGATGCGGGGCTCTAACTCATGAACCGCGAGATCGTGACCTGAGCTGAAGTCAGACACTTTCCCGGCTGAGCCACCAGGCACTCTAGGTTTATCCAGCTTTTGTTTCACACATGACCCTTCCCCACCCAGATCTCAAATACAGCTTCCCAAAACTCAGGGATTAGTTCCAAGGACCAGGAGTTTTGGCTCTGCTCTTTTGTTTGACTCAACACTATTTGTTCACTAAAACCTAGTTGTTACTATTTCTAATATTCATAAAACCATTTGTTACTTTCCTAGTATTAACATTGGGAAATACTTTTACCATGTTGTGCTTGTCTCAATATATAACAATTTTTCCTTTTTATCTGTCATTCCTTTCCAAAATATTTCTCACTGCCTTGTCTTTACTCTTTCTCTTTTGCACTCTGACTTGGATTTCTCTCTGACCCCAACACCCACCTGGCTAACTCCCACTGAAGATCTCCACTTCTTGAAGGCGTTTCAACATATCCAACACCCAGAACCCCCTTTCACCAAAGCCCTGCTGTCTTGCATCCTGAAAATGTTTTGAATTTGTACACAGCCCTATCTTTATCCAAGTTACTACCATAGATCTCCCCTCATACTAACTGCTTTTGCATCATTCTCTGCTCCTGTCATTGATGGTAGAATGCAAATGTCAATTTAATTGTGTTACTCTCCCATTTAAATCCACTAATTGTCTTTTTTTTTTTAATGCTTTATTTATTTCTAGGAGAGAGAGAGAGAGAGACAGTGTGAGCAGGGGAGGGTCTGAGAGAGAGGGAGTCACAGACTCCGAAACAGGCTCCAGGCTCTGAGCTGGCAGTCAGCACAGAGCCCGACGCGGGGCTCGAACCCACGAACCGCGAGATCATGACCCAAGCGAAAGTCGGACGCTTAACCGACTAAGCCACCCAGGCGCCCCAAATTGTCTTTTAATTTTATAGAAGACCAGAATCCTTCACAAGGCCCTACAAAGCCTTCTTCTGGCCTGCTTTATGCCATCATTTTCACATCCATCTTGTATCACTCCCTAATTCTCTGTATCCACAGAGATTTCTTTTACCGCATTATGCTCATGCTGTTCCTCTATCCTGGAATGCTTGTTCTCCTTTTACACCTCAACTTTTTTCATCCAACAAACTTCTACTCATCCTTCAGAACCTAGTATCACTTCTCTGATAAACCTTCACTGATACCAACACAGGTACCTTTATAATATACTGTATAAAATCTTATTCCTTTCCCCTAACTTATGATTAGATATTCATCACAATTCTTATTTATCTATCTTCTGCACTAGAACTCAATTGTTTTAGCTTACTATTTTATTTCCAGATCCTGGCCAAGTGCTTATAGCAGGTGTTCCAAAAATACAGGGTGAACGAATAATATAAAACAGAGGTTTAATTGTCGTAAGAGTCTAATGTATACTTGTGTGTAAGTACCCCAGGTTTTCAAGCTCCACCGACATCCGTCCTCTTCTACTGGGTTAGTAATAAACAGGATACAGATAGCAAGTTACTTCTCCTATTAAGTTCTAGGCTGGTACTAGTTACTTACTGTGTAGAAAAAGATTGAAGGCACTTGTGCAACCAGAAAGTCTCTTCAGTTTGCTCTACATTTATTCTTTGTAAGCAAGGGTTTCATTATTTTCATTCTCAAAATTTGGCTCACAATAGATACCACTGAAATTTTTCAACTACAATTTAATCTTGAAAATTTGTTTAGAAATTAATCATAAAACATGTTTGCTAATACTAATAAATGGATGCTTCTTATTAGTAGAAAGCTAAATACACACTTATTTCTCCTGGCCAAATGAAATTCAGCTTTTTCATGCTTAAATTTATAATAGGTCTGGGAAGAAATCCATTATTGCGCACATTTTGAACTGTGTCCAATAAAGAATATTAGTCATTTACATGGTATAATTTTGAAATTAACTCACAGAATAAACATTGGTGTTCATAAAGTGGATCCCGGCTTTTGCAGATGGCATTTCTTCTTATACTATACAATTAATAGGGAGTAGTATATAGATGATTTTTATCATACTATCTACTTTTTTAAAAAATATTTTAAATATTATTGACATTAGTATGTTTCTTTATTTTTATTAAAACATTTTAAATGAGCATCAGTGGCAATGTCTGGTCTAGATTCAAATTGGATTTTTTTTAATGTTTACTTATTTTTGAGAGAGTGAGAGACAGACCATGAGTGGGGGGGGGGGGCAGAAAGAGAGGAGGAGACACAGAATCTGAAGCAGGTTCAAGGTTCTGAGCTGTCAGCACAGAGCCCAATGCATTGCTCAGACACACGAACCGAGAGATCATAACCTGAGCTGAAGTCGGACGCTTAACCGACTGAGCCACCCAGGCGCCCCTGGTCCAGATTCAAATCTTATCATTGCCCAAATGTTTCAGAATTGAAAAGATAAAGCATCAAGATACTGTCAATCCAACTAATTAACTCATCTTGTTTCTTAGGTGCAGAGATTCAGAGTGTACACATGCATTGAGGAAGTTTAATATTGCCAAAGTCTAGATATATCCAAGTAGACTGGCCATGTGTATGACTCTTTTCAATGATTATGTTGTATGTGCAAACAAAATATTACCCTGCTCATGGGTCATACATGACTCAAGTCAAGACCCATACCAAGTCAACATTTTTCAAGAGCCTTTACTATGCCAATTACTGGAAATACTAAGACAAATGAATGTCTGCTCTCTGGGAGATAGCAGTCCATGGGTAAAAGACTGAGATGCAGCACAGAGACAGAATCTTCTCAGTGCCAGGAGGTGGGGGGGCGGGGGGGGGGAGGGACACCTGAACAAAAGGCTCTTGCCTTTTTATGGACTTGGGAGGCTGAGGTGCAAGGGAAGGGTAAGAGCTAACAATGGGAAGTTACTGAGTCAGGGTGGAAAAAAAGTGCCTCAGCTGAGGCCCCAGGAAGGAGGCCTCCAAATGGAGGTCCCTGTATCTGAGTCCTTGACTGCTACTCCCTCCAGAAAATCACAGTGGGCTGGTTGTCAGAAGAGCGGCTTCCCTCGTGATGCCTGCCAGGCAAAGCCTTGAAACTAACTGCCCACGGCTGAGCCTGAAAGATCACACCTAGGATTTTAGCTTGGAGCCAGACTCCACTGAAGGAAATATGATGCCTATTGAGGATTTTGGATTCAACACTGGAAAAACATTTCGAACTTTAAAACAGGGAGGGA